GTTATCTGATGACACTCCAACAGTTACATCAAGTCTCCTGCAGCTCCATCAGCTGCAAGAGTTGCTGTGGCACTGCTCTGAGCCAAGCAGGGCTTAGAGAACAACTCCAGTCTTGCCCTTTCAGCTGCTCTTGGGCTGCTCAGAGAAACAAGTCACATCCTTAATTCCAACTGGGTGGACAGAAACTTGGGGTAGAAACTGAGTACTAGTGCCACCAGGTATCCAAACTTTAAATGGTTCTAGGAAAAGACTTTTCCCTTGAAATGCCCAGAACGTCACTGTTCAATATTGTAACACCCAAAGTAGATGAAGGAAGTAAAAGCTGCAGATCCAAAATAGGATTAAGCAAGATTAGAGATCATGAAGCAGAGTCAACTTGTTTCCTTTGTGGATGATACCAACCACCTTGAAAGCCAGTGTATGTAAAGTAGATCATTAAAGATGGAAGACAATTTAAAAATGCTTCTTATGGCCCAGTTTTCCACCAGGCCCCCTGAAAACCCAGAAAGGGACAGATCCTATGGCAAGAAGAACCACAGTTTGCAAGCATTTCTCTTCCAGAATGCTGCAGTTTGGGATTCTGGTCTTGTTATGGTAGTAAGGAGAGGCTCTGCAGTGTAGTGCAGTATCTGGACTCGATCCAAAAGGCAACATCTACTCTATGAACACTCCCTGGACTGGAAGGCAAGGCTTTTTCCAAAAGCTCCAGGCAAAGAAGTAATTTGACAATGTCTCTTGATCCCTAGGACCAGCAGAAAACTAAGCAATTAAGGTAATTAATTCCTCACCAAAAGCAAGCAGATTTTGAGATATTCCATCTTATATTGGGTTTATCTGGCAGGTTTTGAGCAGCAGGGTGGGTAGGGGGGCTGCAGAGGAGGCTTCTGTGAGGAGATACCAGAAGCTGCCCCCATATCAGCCTGTCCTAGGTGGATCCAAGCTGCTGGACAAGGTTGAGCCCATTGGTGACCCTGGTGGCACCTCTGTCATAATGTGTTTAAGGGGCAAAAACATCTTGCAGTTGCTGGGAGAAAGGAAGTAAAAATGGAAGAGATACTACTCTGTAGACACCACATCAGTGAAGGAGGTGAATGAGGTACTCCAGGCAGGGAGCAGAGATTCCTTCATCATGATATAGGTTGTCCCCCTGCAACCCATGGAGGACCATGGTGGAGCAGAGCTCCACACTGCAGCCTGTGGAAGACCCCATGTTGGAGCAGCTAGATCTGCCCTGAAGGAACCTGCAGCCCATGTGGAGCCCATACAAGAGCAGATTTTTTGGCAGTAACTGTGGCCTGTGGAAGACCCACACTGAAACAACATGTTCTTGAAGGACTGTACCCCATGAAAAGGACCGATGCTGGAGCAGTTCTTGAAGGACTGCAGGCCATGGGAAGGACCCATGTTGGAGAAGGTGATGAGGGACTTTTTGCTGTGGGAAGGACCACATGCTGGAGCCAGAGAAAAGCATGAGGAATAAGGAGCAGCAGAGAGAACATATTATGAACAGACTGCAACCTCAATTCCCCATCCCCCTGCATGGTTTGGAGGGATGTAGAAGTTTCAGGAGTGAAGTTGAGCCAGGGGAGAAGGGAGGTGGAGGTGGTTTCAGTTTTATTTCTTACTATCCCACTCAGTTCAAATTAACTGGCAATAAATTAAAGTAATTCCTTACACTGAGTCTGTTTCGCCTATAGCAGGAATAGGTAATTGATCTCCCTGTCCTCATCTCGACCTTTTCACCCTATTTTTCTCCCCTCTCTCCTGCTGATGGAGAAGGAGGGATGGTGCAAGCCCTGTGGGACCCTGGCAGCCAGCCAAGGTCAACCCACCCCACATGAGCTGTGGTGGCTCAGCTCATAAATGGCCCAGCCTCTCAGAAGACTGATTCAGAAGAATGAAGCCCACCTATTAGAGCAGCAATCACTAGAGTTAAACCTTTGATGAAGACAGATCTGCACTGACTGGGTGTTGATAGGACAGAACCTGGTGTGTGAGACACCTGGAAAGGGACACCACAACGTAACAGCTAGTGAAATCAGTAAAGCAAGTAGGAAGGCCACAGTAAATGGTCAGGTACCTGAAATGGGAAGGGACTTGAATGAACTCATGGGAAAGAGGGAGGCTTCTCTCTAAACTCTTTCTTTTCTCCCCCCAGCATCCTGGGTCAGGCATTCTGACAGTAATTCTCCTTGAACATCTCCCTCCCACACCCACAGAGTGACAAACTGATGTAAGCTGACTGACCTCCTTCCCCTAAGGAAAGCACTTGCATGGGAAATGTCTGTGATGCAATTATTGCCATTTTCATTTATTTTTGGGTGCTTTATCAGTGACAAACAAAACAAGCTCCTGAAGCTCAGCTGCTCAGATCCTGGTGTGACCCCCAGTCAGATGTGATTGCTTGTCTTTGTCAGATCACTCTACAAAAATGTTAAAGCTCACAGACACAAAGGGAAATCCCAGCCAAATCAAATAAAACCAGAGGACTGGAAGCTATCCTAGCTCCAGATTCCTCTGGTGCTCCAGCCACCCAGATCAGCCAGGGTGCTAAAAATATGCCTTGAGTCAGCAGTGCTGTGTGTCAGCTCTTCACTGGAGGCAACACATGGCCTGGGGAAGTTACAGTGGACATCTCTTACCTGCTTTCAAGGATGACACAACTTGTGCTCTCCAGTACTGAGGAGCTGGAGAAATCTGTAATAGCTTGCTCAAAACACTGCACATCTCCCCAGGCTGGGCTTGAGGAGACAAAGGGGTGGGAAACTGTGCCAGACAGGTCAGGCCCTCCATGCTCACCCAGAGAGCTGGGGCACCAGAAACACTAGACCTTCCAATCCAAGACTCCCTGAGCAGAGGCAGACCTCCCATCCATAAGATGAAAAACAGCACACAAACATCAGAACTATAAGCACTTGCATATATTTAAGAAACACATTTACTCAGACCTTTCCCAGCTATTCCAGAAAGTCTTCCAAAGACTGACAGGGAAAAAAAGAAGCAAAGCAAAACTTCATAACACATCTCTTAGGTTCCTAAGGACCTCCATCACCACCACCACTCAAAATGACCTCCCTTGCCCACACAGCAGTCACTGTCTACACCAAGCAGAGCAACAACAACAGAACAAATTTGGAGAAACCCACCTGAGGAGTAAACAGCTTGGTAGTGGGAGAGCAACACTCCAGTCCCCACCCCAACCAAGGCATCAGTTACAGTTTGGGAAATCAGATGAAAAATGTTATACATATTGACTGGCATGATCACTTGAAGGCCCTCCACTGCTCACAGCTCAATGAATCTTTCTGAAGTATTGCAGGGGAATACTGATTCAATCAAACAGCTTCCAGCCCAAGATGAAAACAGGAGCAATTCACTTTCAATGTTTTCACTTTGGGGGTTTGCCAGTTCTCCAAGAACAATCCCCTGGAACCTTGGAAGCTCACTTTGAGATACTCCAGAGTGCAGGTGCCTCAGGCTACAGAGCACTTGTAGCTGCTTCAGACAGGAAACCAAGCAGGTTTCAGAGGCCCTTGAGCATAATTTTAGTCAGGTTTTATCAAAATAAAAAGTTCTTCCCAAAGAACTTTTTGGTTTTGATGACTCAGTAAGATAAGTGTTTTGTCTGGAAAAAAAAACAATTATATTGATGGGGATTTGGAATTTACAATACAGGACCATACCTGCCCTGAAGGAAAAATCCCCAAAAAAGCACACCATAGTCTTCTGGCTTTCTTCACCCTTTACCACACTCCCTTTAATATCATAGAATAGGGTCCCCATTTCAGCCCCCTTTCCTCCTCCCCATGTTTCCCACACTGTCTCATGCCTGAGAACCTACATCTTTGCATTTAACCTACCCAACCTCTTACCCCTGCAAACCTGCAGGCCCCTTCTGCTCCTTACAGCACTATTCCTAGGGTCTCCTTACCTAAAGACCCTCTCAGAGGGCACCAGGCTAACACCCCACTCCATCTTCTCCATGTGCTCCTTTCCTTCACTTCATGGTAGTGTTAAGATTCCCAGTTCCTTCTTCTCCTGAGCTCCCCTCTCTCCCCTCATACTTAGTGGTCTTCAACCTTCCCCTCCCAACTGTCCCTTCCACCTACACCTCCAGTTTAGTAACAGGTGACACTAATTATAAAAAAACTGTTAAGCAAAGCTGTGTGCTAGAGCAGCAGCTGCTTTACTTGCACCTGAAACCCATTTCCAGGGCCACGCTGGGAGAGAAACAACAACCCATTCAAAAGCTTGACCAGAGAACAGGAGCAAGGGACCCTACATGTCCCCCCAGCCCATGCTCTCAGGCCACCCAGTGCCATGGAGTTGGAGAGATGGCCTGGCAGCAGAACAGTCATCACCAAGGAAGTGGGAATGTTCTTTTTACAGATTCAGCCAATACATTATTTCTCCCTCTTCCCTCCTTAAGGGCAGACAAGAGTTTTCATGGCTCACTCTTCCTGCTGGTTTCCTGTTCAGCTGCCAAGACCAGAGGCTCAACAGAAAAGGGAAGAAGCATTGATGTCTTATACAGCTCTTCACCAGCAGAGCTGCTTATCTGCTTTGGATTGTTAGTTTTTTCTTTTCTTCTGACTGCCTTGACTCAGCAGAGCTCTGGGCTTCTTTCTTTTTATGTGTTCCCACCACCAAACCACAGCCTTTTGAAGAGACAGAGACAGAAATTGCCAGTTTCACTACTCTCAGAGCAGCCCTTCCAACCGAGCTAAAAAGCTCAGTGTAGGTGTTGCTTGTAGGCAAATTGTTTACAACTCACCCAGCTTTTCTGGATCAATGGAAAGAAGGAGCAGCAAATCTGCTTTCTGAGTGAGTGAGCAATGCTATGGGTACACTGCCCTAGCTTTAACAAGCAAGACAAGAAAAAACGAACCCCAAAACCACCAGCCCACTATTTAAGGCATGACAAACTCTGTGTGTCATCTCCCCCTGCCTACGGCAACAGTCTCCTAGAAGAAAGAGGCAAAGGAGAAAGAAATACTCACGCATGTCACCAAGGGCTCCTTTGGTCACATTTGTGGCTTTCCTTACTGTCACAGTGAATACGTGTGAGTACTGGTGCTCCACCTGAAAGTCAGAGAGTTAGAGACGATTAAGCTCCAGAACTGAAAACCACCTATCAAAACAGGTCTCATTTTGCCGAAAACAAAAAACAAACAGAGAGAGAAATCACCCGGGCAAAATGTAAGTGAAACTCATACTGGATAGAGCATCTTAAAGCTGAACTGCGCCCTGTAGCTTTACAGAAAGGTCAGACCTTAAAGCAGGGTTGCCTGATTTTCCTGCAGCCACACCTACTAATCTCAGTGAACAACACTCCTCCTTCTCCACAGAACCTGCTTGAAGGCATTTAGTCAGTCAGGGACAGCTTGCTGCAGTAAGAAAGAAAAAAATCAAAAAGGGGCTAATTTTACAGTGTGAGTCCCTTCTCCCAGTTAAAAGAATGAGTGCCATTATTTCAAAGTACACATTTTGGACCACATACATGCAAACCACATGCCAGGGAGTGAGTTAGGAAGGCATGGAATATATATCCTTTCAGTGCTGATCCACATTCAAAGTGCAAGGGTACCTAGGACAGCAGAGGGAAGGTGACAAGCCAGCTGTTACAACAGCCACCAAGCTTCATGCAGTTTCTGGTGCTCCCCACTGCCTGCCAAGCTCAAGCACACAGCAGGAGCTGCCTTTCTCAGGGCAGGTCTGGCCTGTACCAAAGAGGGAAGTAGGAAAAGCCCTGAAATTAGCAAAGACAAGTAAAAACCTTCATGAAAAGAGGTGTGTAACTCACTTCTATTTTTACGTTCTCTACATAGCCAATAATATAACCAACCTACCACCCCTGCACACTGCAAGGCAGCAATATGGGCCCTGCCAGGGACACAGCACAAGCTTGTTGCTCAGTTTTAGGTGTCAGAGCCTCACACTTTTGCCTCTCAGCACTTCCATCCACAGGACTATCTCCAAGCCAGGCTTAGGACACTCCAGCCGTCTGGCTGCCCACAGTGCCTAGACACTGACTCACCAGTGGTGTGGGCAGCAGGAGGGAACACCCCACATCTCAGCTCTGCAACGGGCAGCAGGTCCAAGCTCCAACAGGCTCCTGCAGCTCCAGCTGCTGTACCTAAAGCAAAGCCCATGTGGGACCTCAGACTGTCACCTACCACACACTGTGACACAGCCCCACCTCAAGTTTCCACTTCTAAATGGAAACTCTTGCCACCTTTTCCTCACCCCCATTTACCTTGGGAAATACACTGGAATAAACACTGCCTATCAGTCACTAGGACCAAAACAACCAGCCAAACAGTAAAAGTTTTACAACATACTGCAATCAGAAGGAAAAGGGGGGAGTACCAGGATCAGGAAATCCATTGACATTAATTTAAAATGACAGACAATACCTTTGACATGGGACATGCTTATTCAGGCTGTGCCTGGTGCTTTCTCACAATGTTTTCATCTGAATACTTCCTTCTTTAAAAAAAACTCTTTTTTAAAGGAACAAACAGATAAGCCACCAAAACCCTTCAATCCACACGTGGCTTAGTTTTTCAACAGTGGCACATGCCTGCAGTCCAGCTACTGCTGCTTCAACTGCTGGGCCTTCTAAGGGCCTTCAGGTGGTTCTCTTAACTACTTCAGAACTGACGGCTTCAGCCAAGCCTCATTTCACACCTACAGCACACACCCAGAGAACAGAACCAAACTGGATCCCTCCACTACAAATAAACAAAAAAGTTAGACAGTTTCTTACAGGTTATATAAAATGTTCTCAAAAAAAAAATATTAAAAAACAAACAAACAAACAAAAACAACAAAAAAACAAAAAACAGCAGAAGTGGCTGGTGAATGCTTAAGAAAGAGTTGAGTCAGGATGCATTATAAAACCCTGCAAGTGATGCCAACAAACTCACCCACCAGTCTGGAGTCCCAAGGTCTGCAAAGGCACAGCCCCCTCAGCATGGCAAAGCACCCAGGAGAAACACTCACTGGGCCACCAAAGGTATGACTTCACTGCAGACACCAGCTGACCCAGCCACTGACTTGCTGCATCTTCTTGGGGTCTGTGATCACCCACATGTTGTGACCACTGCTGGAGGCTTCTTTCATGATCGTCTGCCCAGCAGGACATTTCAGCCCTGTAATTGTTCCCCTGTAAGCTGTAGGAGTTGTCTGGTTCACAGAAGAAGCAAGCAGGCAGGGGGAAACCATGGCAAGGTAAACTGCACCTCATCAGTGGAGCACTCAAACCTTCCTTGCACAGCAAATGGCTCACCAGTAAAAATGGAACCCAGACTTCAGTTGATTCTCCCAGCCAGGACTGTTACCTCATCTCCAAGGTGTCAATCCCAACAGGAAGGGCTGACATGGGGGAACCCCAAGTTGTTCAGCAGCAAAATCTCTAACAGCCTGCTGTGTGCTGAGGGAGACAGAGCCATGGCAACTGTAACATCCATCACTTCCTGCATCGCAGCTTCCAAGAGCGGATGGATGAAGGGGAAGGGGGATTGGACTTCTCTCTGAACAAACTTCTGCCTCTGCCAGATGGCAGAAAACACCCGGGGTTTTCCACCAGTGCAGGGCAAACAGGGACTTTAGCAGGTACCTGGGACTAGCTGGTACCACTGTGAACGCCCAGCTCTGTCCTTCACCCTGGCTCAAGAACGCTCACAAGCTGTGAATCTGCAGAAAACCACCACCTCACTGCCCCCTGTTTCCACCTTGCTTCTTGAAAGAGTTCACAACAGCTTCACCAGCGTGTGCCACCTTCGCACACACACTGGATGGCTGAAGTGTGGGTTTCACCAGGCAGTGCCAGCCCCTGAGCTCACTCACTGACTGGTGTCATTCCTTCATCAGATAGAACCTTATAATTAAGGGAAACAGCGCAAAGTGCAAACACACCACCCTCCTCCTTATTCTCAGCTGTTAAGAAAGAGCCTGTTCTCACCAGAGACCACGAATCAGAGATGAGCGAACATTTAGCAACAAAGAGGAGGATGGAGACATAATTAAGTTAAAAGTACAAGACATGGGCGTGCTGGAGTGAGTTCTCAGCTGGAACATGCAATTCCGGTGCCCCAGAATCCTGGCCACAAAACAGGGATACTGCAAGATGTTCAGTGCCACTCAGCACTGCTGTCAAGTTATTTTCTGGCATCTCCTAGCCCCATGCATGAAGCACACACACCTCAATAAAATGCTTGCCATCAAAACAAGGGCAAACCACCTCTTGTTGGCATGTTCTCATGTCAGCAGTACAGAGATCAGCATCACTCTCTGTTGTAAGGCAGTAACTGGGTTGCTAATACTGCTTTTTATTGCTTTCAACAGCAAACCCCCTCCTTCCAGCTACTGTTCTGCCAAGGAAGTTAAGCCTGGTTTCAGATCTGGTACCTTATGAAATGAAGGCGAAGTCTGGCAAACAGAAGAACATTCTCTTCTTTCCCGATTCCTCACTCAAAACAACACACCAATGCTTTTATAATTACAGTTATTAATACTTGGCCATAATCACATGCTTGAAAGAAATCTGCAACAGAATGGTACTAAAACAAACAATCTCACTCTAAGTAAAAAAATAAATTAAAATACACAGAGATAACAGGAAGCTTAAAAGTCTAAATAATTTCGTACCCCAAAGTAAACTTTTTTCATGTAACTTAAGAGCAATTGGAGATGAAGGCAGATTTCCAATTAGGATCCAGTTTCTAAAGGTATTAAGGAGGCTAAATGGCCATACTAACACTCAGCACAACTTTCCAAAGCATTTTTTGGTTAGTTTTGGAAAGACCGAGTTCTAAACAAGTGAGATGCCCCCAGAAAATACCTCAATAAATGTATTGACTCTAAATACCTTTATGAATCCAACCCTTGCTAATTTAGATGACTAAGCTGCATTTTCTGAAGTGACCTACGTTCACCTGAAGTCTTGATAAAGATCTGTACATTGCCAGCTTCTGAAAAACAGACCATGATATAACCTTCCCTTGGAAGTTGCAACACTGAATGGGGCAACACCTGCATACTTTCAAAAATGTGAGGCAGGTTACAGATTTCAGAAGCTCACCAGTAACTCAAACCCCTCAATCCTATCATCCAAAGTGACCTAGCTGTACATATGGCTTTCATGTAATTTCCTCTTTCTCCAGAAATCTAGAAAAGGAGGAAAATATTCTTCTTTGAACATGACTCTTCTGAATTATGGCACCTCCTGTGGACAGTATTCACTCTTTGCCAGCTCCATCTTTTCCACATATCCTGCACAACCATGGTACAATACCTCCTGTTCACATACCACAGCTCTCCATCTCTTCCAGCTTCTCCTCCTGCCTCCTTTGGTCCTCTCCCACTTTTTTCCCCTCACAGGACAATTTCCCTAACTATCTAATTTCCTCTTTTCCACATCACTGCATTTGTATCAATATTTACCTTCCCACTATGGGACTGGGAACCAGCACGAGATGCCAAAACTTCCTGTAACACAACCAGATTCTATCTACCAACTTTCCACACTTCATGAGAAAGCCAGGGCTTGAAAGTCTAACTTTATATATTCCAAAATGCTGAGTCATAAAATGTAACTCAATCAGGAGATACACCTGCACAGGAAACACCCATCAGGAAGCTCTGGTATAGAGAGATTGTGTAATAAGGATTTATTCCTTTTACTTCCTTAATAGTAAGGACACTTCAGCCGACAACAGGGCTGGACAAATGAAAATGTTTGCCTGCTTTCTTAAATAACAGCTTTCCTGAAGTCTATGCTCTCCTCTCGTAGGTTATTACAAATGAAGACAAACATTTGTGCATACACACAGATTTATCTTGAAGTGATTTTTCCCATCGTTACAATATTTGTTCCCCATATCAGGGTAACTGAAGGTGCATTACGCATCTTAACTCTTTACTCTCTCAAACTGAAAGCATTTTTAGTACAGTCAGGCACTGTCTGTACCTGCAGTAACTCTGTGAATGCCTGACTGTATTCCTCAGACTCTCCCATAAAATGAGAAAAAAGAAAAATAAAGAAATTGGAAAACACATAATAGTTAACAGAAGGACTTCTGGACAATGCAGAATTCTTTGTAGTCTTTTAATGTCAAATGTCACTAAAAATTCAATATTTTTGCACTGATAGAAGCCTGCTGCCCTTGACTGCTCTAAACTGCAGAAGTTTCCACACAGTTTCATTTTTTTAATTAAGAAACTTCCAAGATTTCCATTCACTTTTCAAGCAATTATAGGATCAGCTCTTGCATTAAGTGCTCTTCCTGCAGCAGCAACGTGCCTACAGCAGCAGCTGAGCACTGCCAGCAGCCTGTGACCACATATATTTTTAAGACTCATTTTGTTTGCTATGGTGTATATATGGCTATGAAAAAAGCTCTGTTATGTGAATGATTCAGTGAAACACAACTGAGTGCCTCGGAGACCTCTTTCATAAAGAGACAGATCAGATCAAGCATTCCATCCAGGAGAGGGCACCGATGCAGAGACGAGGAAGTCAGTGTATTTGACACTGTTAAACACAGACATCAACCTGCACGTTGTCCTTACAGCAGAGTGCTCAGAACTACAGCGTGAGTAAAACCCAAGTTTGACATCTGCTGGCTGCAAGCTCGTGTAAAGGATGTGACTGCGTGGGGCAGAAACCACAGAAGTGATAAGAGATCATTTCAAGGAAGCACAGGCTGTATTTTTAGACAAGTAGAAGTTCAACATTACGACAAGTATATGGTAACTATCTCTGAGTACATATCACTTTTCCTGCTGTGAGATCCTGGGAGTGTTACAAAGCCCTTGATATGAACATGCCCAGCTTGTTTCAGGAGTTCAGCCTGAGCAGGAATTGCAATTTCAGTGTTTACTTTGGAAAGTCACTCAAGTAAAGATACATGTGAGCACTACAGCCAAAAGCCAGCATTCAACAAGCTGCTGAGCCACCCCATGAGCTTGTGATACCAAGGGCAGCTCTGCTCCCACTTCTCCTGCTTCTCCACTTAGAAGTGTTGTGCTTCCATGGTTGTGCCCTCCCTTGGGCCAGCTGGAGAGCAGAGAGGTCCTCCTTGGCACAAAAGTGTTTGGCTGCCAGTTCAGGGAGATTAGCTGGCTGGCTGCAATAACAAGCCTTTGCTGACTGACTAAAGAGATGCAGCAGGAACATCACAGGAAGGCAGGAGCTGTTGGCAGCACAGATCACTGATACCTGGAGCCTGCAGGCTGTGCTCTGAAGATTCTCTCTGAATCAACAGTGCTGATACACAGCACTTTAACATCTAAATATCCAAAATTGTCAACTTTATCCACACTGAGGAAAAGAAGGAAGAGTTATTTGGTAACTAGAATGGTACCAAAAAAAAAGGTGAATGGTAAGGGAGGAAGTTAGATACTTGATGTTATTTTTGTAGGCTACAGCTCAGTTTGACCATCAGCGTGTGGAAAAGCTTGTATGAAATAGTCAGCAAACAGGCAAGTTCTTTAGCAGGACACCCTGTGACATGTGCCACGAGGCTGCAAGGAGTTCAGTTTCCATTTTGACTGACATCAGAGCACCCACAGCCAAAGACATGACATGCTCTGAAAAGCTAACTTACGTCTTTCTGATTTCATTCGAGTAAGTTTCTGGAGAGCCCTGCACTAACCAAGTTTAGGTGTTTCTCCAAGGAATTAAGGACACCTCCCATGCTGTGTGCCTATTTACAGCAACTTGTGAGAGGATACATGACACTAGAACGTACATATTGCACACAAGGGCATAGGTAGAAGATTCAAAGCTCCTTACCACAATGTGCTGATAAGGGTCGATGACAGACATTTTGCTTCAATTTTTATTCAAGACAATTCTCAGATGTGGGTCAGTTCTGCACAGAAGAAGCTTCCCTGGTTTTCAAAGCAGAATTCAGTATGTCAGATCCTTTAACTATTAAATAAAGAAAAGAATATAATTAACATTCCTATGTTCCTTTAAAAACATACCAGAGCAAATTAGTTCTTCCACTTAAAGAGGGTTCCCAGAATTCATTTGTTTACCAAGAACTTAATGTCACATAAGCTATGGAGGTATAGATATTCACTTACCTGAACCACAGAAATTTCTTCTTATTATTTCCTCTGCCTCAGGCTAAGATCACGGACCAAATATCTGGAATTCCACTCATCCAAGCGCTTCTAACAGTTCTACAGATAAACAAAAACACAGAGCAGCTGTATACATATATGCTCCCATGCATTACAATCCTAGTTTAAAAAAGCAATGGAATCAGTGTATAGTTAATAGCTTCTTTACTGTTTTGACATATTCTCGGTTCCCATGCTTTGCGTCTATATTGAGATGCTCACATGGTCAGGAAAGGGATGAAGTTCCTCTTTGTATCTTCACACCAAGGGACATGAACTTTAGAACTGAAAAGCCAGTTGGAGAGCACAAGCACAACAGTCAACAACTTGCTGCAGACCACGTTTAGCTATTGTCATCAGCCCTCAAAGAGTGGTGGTCAGCAGCTCAATGTCCAGATGGAGCCCTGTGACAACTGCTTTTCCCCAAGGGTCAGTACTGGGAGCAGTGCTGTTCAACATCACTGTCAGCAACATGGACAGTGGCACTGAGTGCACCCTCAGGGAGCTGGCTGATGACACCAAAGTGTGTGGTGAGGTTGACATGCTGGAGGGAAGGGATGTCATACAGAGGGACCCTGACAGGCTGGAGAGGTGGGCTCATGCAGACTGCATGAATTTCAACAAGGCCAAGTACAAGGTCCTGCAGCTGAGCTGGGGCAATCCCAAGCACAAATACAAGCTCGGGAGAAAATGGGTTGAAAACAATCCAGAGGAAAAGGACTTCAGGGTGACGGTGAATGAGAAGCTCAACATGAGCTGGCAGCATGTGCTGGAGCCCAGAAACCAACTGTGTCCTGGGCTGCATCAAAAGAAGTGTGGCCAGCAGGGCCAGGGAGGGGATTCTGCCCCTCTATCTGCACTCGTGAGACCCCACCCAGTGTGCTGTGTCCAATTCTGGAGCCCCGAACAGAAGGGGGACATGGAGCTCCTAGAGAAAGGCCAGAGGAGGCCACGAAGATGATCCGAGAGCTGGAGCAGCTCTCCTGTGAGGACAGACTGAGGGAGTTGGGGTGATCAACCTGGAGAAGAGAAGGCTCCAGTGAGACCTTAGAGCACCTTCCAGTGCCTGAAGGGCCTCTAGGAAAGCTGGGGAGGGACTTTTCACCAGGGTGTGTAGAGATGGGACAAGGGTTTAATGGTTTTAAACTGGACAAAGGGAGATTGAGGTGAGATTTTAGGAAGAAATTCTTCTCTGTGAGGGTGGTGAGAGGTTGCCCAGAGAAGCTGTGGCTGCTCCATCAGGGAAAGGACAAGGGGTGATGGTTTCAAACTGGAAGAGGGGAGATTTAGGTTGGACATTAGCAGGAAATCCCTTAGTGTGAGACAAGTGAGACCCTGGCCCAGAGAAGCTGTGGCTGCCCCATGCCTGGAAGTGTTCAAGGCCAGGTTGGATGAGGCTTGGAGCAACCTGGTCTGGTGGGAGGTGTCCCTGTCCATGCAGGGGTTTGGAACTAGATGGTCTTTAAGGTCCCTTCCAACTCAAACCATTCTGTGGTTCTATGATTTTACCACAGCTTCTCATACCACCTTCACCTGGAAAGCTTTGTCCACAAACAGCAAATTCCCACAGTGGCACCTAATTGCTTCCAAGAGAACAGAAAACAAACTCCAGCATCTAATCCACAGTAACAGCCCGAGAGAGTTCAATTGGTAGCTGCTCGGGGAATGAATGACAGCCAAGCAGCAACAGTGCCCTCTGCAAACTTGGGAAGGGAATTCCAGCTGAAGCTGTGCAGAGCCTCCGGGGCCACCCCAGCACTCTAGAGCTTCACCAAAGGCTTTGATGGGCAAACTGCAGCTGGCAGGTTTTAAACAGGTTTTCCACAGGCCACTGTTCTCTGAACAGTCTGTGCATATTTCTGCAGAAATCAGGGGCCACCCAGAGGATTAAACTTCAGAACTGTTCCCAGTTAAAACAAAATATACCAAGAGAGGGTTATTCCTCTCTGCACCACCAAAAAACCATGGGAGACTGCTAGGCAGGATCAATTCTCAGACTCAGCTGGACCACAGTCAGATCTGAACCATCAGCAGAAGCTTCAGAGTGATAAGAAAAAAGCACCATATGGGGTTTGTTCTCAAGGAAATTATTCCTAATCCTCCATTTCGGAAGGGCAGAATAAGCTCTACACAGTGACGGTTTCTGTCACTCTCCAAGCCTTTGCTCTTGAGCAATTACATGCAGGCACTTCCAGAAACATTCTGATTTGTTATGATCACCAGAACATTATTAAATCCCTTCTTTGATCCTGTCAGCCCTAACAATAGCTTCAGGCTAGAAATTATCCAGGTTTTATTTGCTTTTATCTAGGAAAGCCTGAATAAGAAACTCTTTAACATACATTAAGTTCACAGTTTTCATTCAAGGCAGTTCCATGCCAGGGGAACAGGAACAAGTAAGTCATCTTTACCATAGAAAGCAAGGAGCTTTTCACACTTACAGGAAGATCTCTTAACACACAAATCCACCAGTATGTCTCCTACTGCTAGAATAATGGCAAAAACTTACTTTTATTTAAATACTGTCAGCTAAATTCAGCAGTAAACAGGCAGATGGGAGGGAAGCAATATTGTGCTTACAGACATACTGTTCAGCTGGTTTGTTACATTCACGTTTATTTTACCCTGGGTTCTGCTTAAACTATGACATTGAAGAACCTTGGTCAACAAGCCCTGCCATATCAGGTTTTGAGGGAATGCTGCAAACTTCAAAGGCAATCAAGAAAAGGGAGGCAACCCCATCACTGCAAGTTGTAAGGCGTAAAACAGAAAGCAGACCGTTTCCCTGAGCTACAGAGTCAGCCAACAGTCAGTTACCACACTCTTTGAGAGGATACAAGAGACCAAGCTGAGGACACTGCCCTATCTGTGGGAAAGAGGGAATGGGCTAGACCCAGGAAAGAAGCCTGGCTCAAGTTGTTTGTCCAGCACCCCAGGGGCAGAGCTCCAGATCATCACTCAACTGGTTGATTGGCTTAGACATGAGATCATCCTGTCTTCTCCTCTAAGCCCCTGCCTCATTTACCTCAACATCTGCAGAATGTACATTTGTGACCCTGCAAACAACAGCCTCTCTGACTGCGGAGCCGAAATGAATCCCCCAGCGCCATCTGTCCTCCATGTTGGATGAGGCAAGGATCATGCAGGCAGATAAATATGCAATCACGTAATTAACAACTCTGTCACAAACACACATACGCACCAACTGCCAGATAAGAATACTCAGGCAGAGCCTCTGAACAGGCAGAAAAGGGCCAGGGAGCAGGCAGACCCTGGTGTGATGAGCAAAGCCCTAAACTGCGGGTTTTCTGTACAGCTCTGACCCCAGTGTGACAGATCCCAACTCCATTCATGCTGGTATTGCTCCAGATTGGCTTGCTGCCTTAATCACAGTCTCTCAGGAAGTAAAGAACAGAGGAAGATACCCAACCACAGCCAGCCAGTGCCACTTGGGTGAAAGGAAGGCACCCGAGGTGGGCAGATGGACAGGGAGCCACGCTCTGCTAGAAGCCAGCGGGACACCCCAAGTGGGAGCAGATATCTGCAAAAAACAGAGCTCGGATACCAAATGTAGCTCACATAACACTGCCACTAGCACTGCCCATCCCACAAAGCCTAATGGAAAACCCATCAGCTAATTAAGGACCACCTCACAAGCACATACCCAGAACTGAGCTCAAGCTGAAGCTGGTGGCAAGCCAGCCCTTGACAGACTGAAGGGAAAGCAGCACCTCTAGGCAAGTCTTCAAGGACACCTCAATATTACTGGCATGTGCTGGTTTGTCTCCCTGCTATCTGGTGGTATGGCACCCTCTGTGAGCTCTTCCCAGGATATTCCTCCAGAGAGGACCAGCACGCACGACCAGCATAAATTCTGCCAATTCACAATGAAATAAGCTGGCCAGACTGATTCACAATATGCTTCTTGATGTTTTATTCACAACTGTCCAAGTTTACAAACCACTGTAGCAAACAGCCTCTGGAACAGGCCACACTCCAGCTCAGTTATGGAATAGAGGGACAGCTTTCTGCCAAGTTCCTTAGTCTCACTTTCACCCAAAAATGAACTCTGCTTTTGCCAGCCCAAGAGCATTTAGCTGCTAGGAACAGCTCCAGAAATCCAAAGTAACAGGTCATTAGCAGATAGGTGGATCACCACTAATATCCAGACTCCTCTGTGACCTTAGCTCATTTTCACTAGAGGTGACAGACTGAAAGGAGTCAGGGATTATTGTCCTTAAAGATAGACAACAACAGAACACAAAAACCAGTAACACATGCATACACAGACAGAGATTGTGGTTCTCACTGTTGATCCAGGACATTCCCACAGATAATTCTGTTTTACAGGATACATCAAGGAGAATCATGAGACTTTCCCATGTCATGCTGAGCATGAGCTTACCCTACAGACAAGTCTCACTGAGCCAAAAGCTCTGAAAGTGAGTAAAGCAGGAGGCAGTACAAATATCACCACCAGAATACGTCCTCAAGACCACAAGAGAAATTGTAAGAGGGAGATTGTTTACATCAAGCTGGCAAGTTCTTCCTAAAAATCTAAGGCACAGACAAGTAAAAACGTAAGTGAATAATTGTGAATCACTGGCACAGTCATTGATGCTGAATCGAATATGATAAGAGCAAGGGGTACAGAATAAGCTCAGTATTGATTCAGGCTGTTGGTATGAATGTCACCATCCATTTTTATCAGAAGATAGAATTTTATCAGGTAACAGATTGATCCTATGATTGTATAACAGAAATAACAAGCAATCTGTTTCTATGTGATTTTGCCTAGCATCCTGGAAAATCACTGCAATGCCCTTTCATCATTTAGGTCTTCCCAGAAGGAGAAGCCAGGTCTAGCTCTTGCCCTGTGTACAGCCCCTCTCACTCCATTTCCCTCACAAATGTAAAAGTGTATGTTCTGCTGACGTGCAATGACTGTTCTTCCCATGCCTTGCTGAGAGAGTATGGGTGGAAGGAAGGATTCTGTGCAGAAAAGCAAAAGCT